ATTTTGTAACGCTGTTGTACAGCACAAAACGTATAAAAAGCATTATTAACGCAAATGAATTGAAATGAGTTGCAGGGGCAAATCCCAATATACAGGGAATGAAGAGTATGATAACTTAAAAGGGTTTTCATTTTGGTTAAAGTTAAACGTATTTTTCTTTTCTAAAGAACATTAGAGGAAATTCAGTTCGGTTTAAAAAAAAAATTTCTGAAACAATGAAGAACACGCATTCAGGAGCACTGTAACGAGAAGAAAATCGAATCCCTGCTAGTGGTGCATGGTGACGATGAGGTGCTGGTCCGAATTGGTGGAGCTGATCTCGGCAAAATGAGCATCGACGAGGTGTTGAGCAAATTCGAGAATCAGACCGGCAAGGCAACATCAGCCGTGGAAAGTTTCACGCATTTGCACGGTATCAGCCAATCACCGGCTCGGCACGCATCCGCAACAGCAACTGCTGCCAATCTCAATGTACGATATGCCGTGGCGGAGAAACCAGCGGTTAATGCCAGGAAGAGAAATGAGGTGAGAGCTGCTGTACTGAACAAGGGGGCAGGAAGAAGAGTACAGGAGGGGGAGGCAGAGAGGGGGAAGGGATTATCTTCTGAATGGTTTTGTTAGCAAAATACACTTCTTGGTCTTATTTTGATGGTTCGGTTGAAAGTTTCAGTGGAAGGTTTTCATCTCTCTAATGTAATTTTAATTTTAGATGATGTGTGTTTGTGTAAAAAGTAAGGGTTAAAAAGAAAGGAATAAAAGGAAGGTGAATAAGATAAATCGGATTAAAAAACCTGAATAGCAATGTTTCGGTCCATTAAGTTGCATACATTCCAGTTCAATGCTGCGGCTGGACCTCGTCAGTGTGACGGTTGCAGCAAAAAATAACATGCAATGTGTCAAAAAGAAAAAGAGGAATTTTGATAATGTAAAAAGGTTAGAACAAAAGTGATATCTCTAAATCCATAGCAATATTCATTTTTTGCGGATCTGTTTCATAGCGATTACTTCGATAACTAGAGAAACAGAAAGCAACAAGAATACCATAGTTCGCGTAGAGTACCGTAATGTTCGAAGTCACTGGTGCGGCAAATCTGGCATAATTGGAGCCTTTATGGTATTGGCAATTCGTATACCAAATTTGGTGCCAGCTGCTATCTCCATTAAAAAGTAATCGATGGTAGCAGCGAAACAATGCCATTTATTTTCAAGACAGACCTAAAAGTCAGCATTTTTAGGCGCATATTCGTTCGTGTTTACAAAAAGCAATTGCTGTGATGACGCCACAGACCGTGATCGAAGTGATCGTAACGGATCTGCCCACAGATGCTGTTCGTCTGCTGACAACACTCATCGATCGCAATTGTTCGATGGACGAGCTCTCCGGCAGTTTTGCAACAGCAACAAAGCAATTTAACAAATTCAAGAAAGAATTCGTGCGAATACAAGAAGCTATGGAGCCTTTCTTCCAACCCAAAAATAACTCACCTATAGTACTTTTTTCAAGGCAAACCAGTAACGGGTATTACAAATTACTGCTTTGAAATCCATAAACTGCTTTGAAACCTAAATTATTGCTTTGAAACCCAAATTACTGCTAGTCAGTGGCAAGTAGCACCGCTCTCATGCTGAACATTTGGGCTTCGGTCAGCAATGGGATGGCCAGTTTTTCCATGAATTTCTCGTTTTTTATGCGTTTTTTGCATTTGTGCAATGCAAAAACGCATATTATAAAGAGGTTGTCTGTGTGTGTTTGTCTGTGTGTACGTCTGAACTGGTTTTAAATCTCAAGACCTACAAAAGCTACAGGGCTGAAACTTTGGAATCTTAATCTACATGCATGTACGGGCCCCATCCCGTTTGCTACTCACGTGGGACCCATCAAGGTTTTTAGCGGACAAGTTGTTAATTCGGGAACCTGAAAAACTGGAAGACTGAAATTTTGAAAAGATTTTTCCGGCCCATGTAGACCTAGTGACTTCAAGCTCTGCTCGTAGTTATGCGTGGTTTTCACATACAGGCCGGTGAAAGTTTTTGGCGGATAAGTTGCTAACTTAGGCACCAGAAAAAATAGAAAGCTGAAAATTTAAAAAAATGTTTTCAAGAGTCCTTGTGGCAGTCCCAGTACTCTTAGCTAGAAGATCTGCCAAAAAATCAGTGCTGTTAGCGACAAAAACCTGCGGGGAACTATGCAAAAAACGCATCTTCGCACTGGCAGTCGGTGCGCTGGCCAATTATCTTTTTTCTGGTAATGATTATCACTATCAGAAGAAAGATAATTGGTCAAGACCGCAGCAAATCCAGGGAGTCAAAACCGCCCTGAATTTGTTTATGAGCAATTCGGGGCAGCCTTTTTTCGATTTTGCCTAGTAACAAATTTCTGGATGGTCTTATCACTTATCGAACAAATCCATATGCCTATCACTAAAATGATTAATGGGATATGCAAAAGAGAAAGCCACAAAAGTCACGAGCCATTCGAGTTTTTTTCGTAGGATTTAGCCTATTTTGGACAGGCCTAAAATTGGCACATCCATGTTTCGGGGCAGGCACCGCCACGCATAATGCACACTCGACATATTGTTCTCTCTTATTTATGGACCAAATCATTGAGGATGTTTTTGTGTGTTTGTTATTAAAACAAACGTTTTGAAGCCTCCAGAATATGAGAAGTGCGACAGAGAAAGCTAGTTTTTGCGTGCTTTTCCTGAAACCTAGGGTTTTGGGCTTTGGCAGTTACTTTTTTGATAGTTGTTGATTTTCCGACGATTTTTTTTTTTTTTTTTGACCCTTTTCTTGTGAATTATTAAGCAACAGTTGGAAAGCAGTTCAAGTGGTGAAGACTGTGTGGGATCTGGCTTAGCTGCTGTTGGAGTTTGTGAGCATTCCAGTAATATCATGGAATACTCACACCGATTATTGGGGTGGTCTTGATATTCTTGGTAGTATTAGTAAATTACACATTATCTGTGGGTATCTGTGGGCTTGAGAGCTCAATTAAGAATTTAGTCGGTATATTTAAATGTAAGAAAGAAGGTTCGGGGTAGCACTGGGGCAGGAGAAGGAGGATGAAAGTGTAACTATTAAAAACATAAATTACATCTCTTTTTTGATGCTATCCAATATTTTCCTTGTTCGTTGTGTTTTGTTGGTTGTTAATTTTAATTCCTGTTGTAATTGAACTGAATAAAAGAGCTTTACAAAATCATACTGTCTTACTTCGGAACATCATCGGTTTCGAGAGCCTTTTGCTTCAAATGCTCAGAAA